ATGAGTAGGTTGTAGTCTTCCGCTGAAACATCGGAAGCTTCAGAGATGGGCAGGACGAATCGAAGTACAGGTTCATGAACTGAGAGCTTGATACTCGCTTTAGGGAGCAACCGGGATATCAGTCGATGATTGTTTCTCTTCTTCCCACGGGGAGAGGATGTTCTATCCTGAACCAAGCCCAGAAGCCGGGAAACATGCCTTGGTTCTAAATCGATGGAAGGAGACGTTACCACAAGATTCGCGAAAAGGATATTAGTGTTTCGCTCTTCCGGGTTCCATTCACTGAACGAGCTAATCGTTTTTGATGGGAGGGTTGTCTTTATGGTTGTAGTGGCCATGGGTATGTAAAGGATATTATCCGTCTCGCCGGAACTGTCATCTAAACTAACCGAAAGAGAGATGGCCGCAAGGAGAGCTTGATGCGCGATGTCATTCCGCTGGAAATACATCCGATGGGCGGGACTATTCTGATCCATCCGGTGCAGGTCAATGCCTATCTCATGGGATATAATGTTAAGATAGACCGAACTCTGCTTTGGCGAAGGTGGCTGGATAGCTCGCGATAATCTGAAAAAGCTCAAAGCTATCTGAATTTCATGTATTCCCCGCAATAGAGAGCTCGCAAACTCCTTTGAATCGGCAACGGTTTGGACAAGGGCGTCGTCCTGGCTTCCAGGCTTGTCCAATTCCTCCACGAAGTCTGCAAACGACACCTCATCGTCTGCTTCACTCTTCGAAGCTTCCGAAAAGGATTGCCGGAACTTCTTGATTCTTTGCGCGAGTGTCATCAGATCGTCGTAAGGTATATGCATTCTCCCGATCTTTAGGGCAATTGACGCATCCCTAAGCCCTTCCAGGTCTTTATGTAGTATGCCATGTACATTGACTCCAATGTTGTCTAGCAATTCTGTTGGTTCTCCGCCGTCCACCGTAAGAAGGACATTTTGCACGGTCATTATCCATTCAGCTGGACGTTGTTCACCGGACTCATACTTTTTGCGGCGAAATAGTTTCCCTCTGTCTACCATCTTGCGTCTAGTATCCACTGCCAATGACAGACTACCCACCTGAATCTGGCCAGCTTCGAGGAAATTGACGGTAGTGTTGACCGCTACGACGTCCACCAATTTCAACCAGTGTATTTTGCGATGCAGCCGCTTCACTTGCTCCTTTAGCTTAGTTAACGATCTCCAAGTCTTGCTCCGTCCTTGGAGGGAAACACTATCTTCATCCTCTGGCGGGGAAGAATCCCCTGGGTTGGGCTCCGATACATCGGGGTGGTTTTTGTTGCGCTTGCTCTTGGCTAGAGCGGCGGGGTCCACGGTCACTTTCAAATCGGTCAATCGAAGACTAAGCCATGTCGGTTGGGCAAACGAAGGTGGGTGTAAAGACAGCCCAAGGCCACGAAGTTCAATCTGTACTCCTTGCTTCGGGACGTATGCGATGCGGCGGAGAGAGAAGTAGCCAATGCGTTGTATGGAAATTCCCGTGGCGATCCGAACGATGGCGAAGATAAGAAACGAGGAGAGGTAGAGGAGAAGGAACCCGACAAGGACCGTAGTCGGGCTGAAGAGCGTCATCGTGGCTCGCGGTCAGGAGGGCTGATCCGTTGAATAGGACAAGTCCAGCGCAACAATTGAACCATCGAGAGACAAGACTGGGAGGCCGTTAGTAAATACGCGCGATACGATCAAGAAGGCCGGCAGTTTCTGTTGTCATTCAAGGTTTTTTAATTTTTTTTTTTTCACGGTGGGGAGCACCTCCGGAGCATTCAATCTTCAAAGGGCTCGAAGCCGGCGAGGGCCAGGTCTCCGTTAAGACCGGAATTGTACACCAGCCGGAGAAGCGACGCAGGAGGTACGTAAGAACTGCGAGTCACTCATGCTTCTGAACTGAGGGAAGAAGTAGGAGGGAAAAAGAGAAATGCAGTATAGGACAGGATGGCTCGGGTACGACGAACCATAGATCTATCTAACCTTCATGTAAGCAAAAAGACAAGTCGAGCCGGTCAATCACTAGTCGTCGAGCTGGTCGCGGGCAGAACTGGAAGCGGAAAGCCGCCCACTTGGACCCAAACGGGGAGTCTTCTGGTAAGCTTCCGTTCTGGACGGTCGGCTGTCTCGGCTTGTTCCTGCTACGAACGAAATGGGTACGGGCTCCACGCTACATTTTACCCTTTTTGACTGCGCATGTCATATACGTGAGCTGCGATGGTCTGTAAAGTACGTACATACGTAGCCCCTATTTCTCGGTACCCTGGTGGGGGGGATTTTGCTTCATGATTTACGTTCTGGGTAATTAGTAGCTCGTTCGTGACTGACTTGTCCACCAGTACCTTGCATTTCGTCACGATTCTCTCCATCATGTTACAGGCGTTTCATGGATCGGAACAATGCTTCCTCCAGGAAGATTACTTACACCAATCAAAAACCTCCACCTGCGTAATGGTCATAACGACGTGTCCAATCTCCCAAGTACAGAATAGATACAGTCCATGGGTGCACCTCCCTACATCTTGACTCGTCTATGGAGATCAGGCCTGTCAGATTTCTAAATAAATCTTAATATTATACAGTTTATCATACAGACCATTCATTTCCCGTAAACTAATGTACAAGACGATGTATGTATGTCCAAGGGGGCATGCTGTAATTTCAACTAGATTGTCCCCTCAACCCCCTCCTGCAAGTAAAACTGGGCAAGTTTCGACTCCTCCATAGAACAGGAGATCACTTATTAACGCCATGATAATCCATAACATAGTAGTACTCGCTTTTAGTCGAAACTGCAACGGCGGAATCCCTCCACGCAATAAAGGTCGCCGATATCCATCTGGCTTCAGGTAATCCGATCCAACAAACAATCGAATAACCATTCCGACGGGGAGGACCATCTTTCAGAGGAAGAATACTGATCGATGCTCTGCATTACTTCGATCCAGTTTTCGGTTGTCCTGCATCTGATCCACGGGACTTGGACTTTTCAAGTTCCTCGATCTTTTCGTCGAGGAGTGCCATCTCAGCCTCAATGCTCAGCAATTTTTCGCTTAGAAGCCCTCTATAGTCATCATCCGAAAGAGACTTGAGAGGTATCCATTTCGAGTCAGCGATCCGCTGAATGATTGGCTTAGATGGAGTATTGGCCTGCTCTATTTGCCATTTGTCGATCGCATTATATGAGCCTTGCCCGAGATAGCCTAGTAGCGAAAAAACGACAACCCCTGGAATGAGCCGGCCTCCTGATCGTTGTCAACACGTCAGTCATCGACATCCAATTACCAGCGCTTGGCAGGAAAGCTTCAGAGGGCTAAATAGTAAATACCCATTAATCTTGTCACGGCTCCGCCAGCAATTCCTCCTGACAAGGCGCTGACGTAAGCGCGCTGTTTCGGGGAGGCATTATCTTCATAATGGAGCTTCAAGATATTGCTCCTCAGCCCTGCAAAGAAAGCTCAACACCAAAAAATCTCCTAACACCTGGAAAGCAGGAAGGTAAGTAGCTTACACCAAAAAGAGGTTCCACAGGCGAACCAATGGATACCACACGATATAGAATGTATCACCGGGTGGCGAGAAGATCGAAGGACGCCTGAAATCCCTCCATAGACAAGGCCTGCAGAGCCTGCATTATAAACCAGTAAGTAACCAGATAACACAGTACATGTTGTACCAAAAAAGTGCATATTTCAAATCATCAAGAGATAGGTTCTATGAGCGAAGCCAACACTAACCGCTTAGAGCTCCCACCTTCAGGGAAGAAAAAAGAGAGTTAGATTCTAAACTCGGATTTTGACTATTTTGGTCACTCATCTTGTGAACCGTCCAGACCGTAAACCAAAAGCTAGAATCAAACCCAGATATATCATTACTGCTGCCCATTGGCATCTTTTTATTGTCTGGATGAGCGAAGGGCGGCAGTGCACGTGATATATGAGCTTATGTAAGGCGATGCATGTACATCGAGCGCACATGACATGCCTATTCTCTTTTTGCTACCATTTTGTTCTCCAGGTTTATTGGGTTTTCATGCGGATTAGGTCTTAATCCCTTAGCTAGACACATTATAGTAATTAGAAATAAGAGTTGGGTCCGGTTATCTAGCACCTCAGCGGGTATAATATATAAAATTGACGAAGACATCCTTGGAGAACAATAGAATCCACATTCACCTAGGGTTCCTGACTACCCGAGTCAAAATTCCTAGGGCCCAGCGGTTGCTATGCAGTTCGATAATAGGTTAATTGTTCGTCAGTTGTTTATCGACTTGTATCAAGCCAACAAAATGCTTCCGTCTGTATAATAAAGATTATAGAATGCATCCTGCAGGTTGGAAATCGTTAAGTACAATTCTAGAACAATGCCATTTGCGTTCACCTGCAAGGAAATAGCAGATCAACCGCTTAATTTCAAATGAACTCCTAGTTTTACTATTTCAGTCTATGAATCCTCTTCAAATTATCAAAACTTAAATCCTCATTCGCGCGTCTTAAATAATAAAATAAAAATAAAAAAGAAAAAAGAAACAAAAGAAACAAAAGACCAAAAACAAGGTGGGGAGTTCTAGTAGTTTGACCACTTCTCCGCAAAGCGAGGTTGCAAGAAAAAGCCCTCTTCGCGGGTTTGGGTCGAGGCGCAAACCGAAAAGCCGCACCAACACTTTTAGAGGCTGACTTTTCTAGCGTCATCACTAAAAATTATCCTCGCGGGTTAACTCACTTTCCCCTCTGTTCTTCACTGCGGAGCTCTCCTGCAAACCCCCCATTTCACATCGTCTTGTTCAAAACTAGACGCCACCTTTCGCATTCCTACAGTCTTCCTTATCGGAAGTCATTTTTATCTATTTCTCAACTCTCCCGTGTGAGACGCGCACAAGTGCTTCCCTTGGCGCGTTTCTGGATTTCCAACAACCGCAATCATGGGTACGTTTCTACCCCTCTCAGGCATGATTACGGTCTCGCTTGATGACAGCGCTGTCGTTTCTTTAATCGACAATGGATACTAATGATCATTTCTCCAGCGCCTAAGCAGAAAGCCCAGAAGATGTCCATCAGCACCTTCTTAGCTGATGAGAGTAAGTTAACCCCGTGAATCTCCGCGGGGCGATCAGTGCTAAACCATTAGACTTTGGCTCTTGGGCCGACGAGATGGATGACATGCCTTTGCCTGGTAAGTGATGGATGCTATCCCAATGATCAGGACCGGATGACCTCGTACTGATACAAATGTCTAATAGCCGGTACGTTATTGACACTGCTTGCTCACGATGCTTGCTACCCACCTGGATAGACAAATCTAATACAATGTAGCCCCTCCTCAGCCCAGGTTCGACAGCGATCGCCGTGCTGGTGGCCTCTCGTCTGCTGGATTCGGCAGTGGCTTCGGTGGTACACTCCCCTCCCCCTTTATGGTATTTTACTTCATCTGATAATGAGAAACAAGACCGTGAACGTGGCGGTTACGCCGTTAGGGAGCCCCTCCCCCTCCCCACTCAGCCCCCGTATACTGCCCACGTCGGAAACTTGTCCTTTGATGCGACTTCGGCTGATATCTCTGACCTCTTTGTCGACTGTGCTGTGACGAACGTTCGTGTTGTGGAGGATAAGTTAACGAAAGCCCCTAAGGGCTTCGGATACGTCGAATTCGAGACGGTAGACGGCTTGAAGAAGGCTCTCGACCTCTCCGGCGCCACCCTGCAGGGAAGGGCCATCCGGGTCAGCATCGCAGAGCCTCGTAAGTGCCTCGATATTTGGTTCATTATACACTCACTGACAGCTCTGCAGCTAAGGAACGGGATGTCAAGGAATTCGACTGGACCCGCAAGGGCCCTCTTCCTGCCCCCGAGGCTCCGCGCCGTGTCCCTGACCGCTCCTCCTTCGGACGTAACCTTGACAATTTCTCCGATGCCGGTAGCGAACGTACAGGTGGACGTCGCAACTTTGAATCCGACGGCAAGTTCCGCGATTTCGGTAACTGGGAGCGAAAGGGTCCTCTCTCTCCGACCGGGCCAGTGAGGGAAGGTGGCCGTCCTCGCACCAACGAGGGATCCAGTTTCAGAAAGAGCTCGCCTGGCTGGGGTGAGGGACGTTCCCAGGATGGCTCAAGGCCTCCACGACGTGAATTCCAAGAACGGGCACCTACTGCAGCTGAAATGGATAACGCCTGGAGATCAAAGATGCGTCCTGATCAACCTAAGGAGTCTAGTAACCCTCCTTCCCCCGCTGCCGCTCCTGCATCCCCTGTCGCCCCTACGAGGCCAAGACTGAACCTTCAAAAACGAACTGTGACCGAGGCCGTGTCTACCCCGGCTGCAGGCACTGGAACTGGGGCCAGCCCATTCGGTGGCGCCCGCCCGATTGATACCGCTGCGAGAGAGAAGGAGGTTGAGGAACGGCGCCAACTAGCATTGAGGCAAAAGAAGGAAGCCGATGAGAAGGCCAAGACTGAGAAGGGCGACAAGCAGCGACCTGCCAAGGACCAGGCTAAGGGTGACAAGACCGGCACATCTGCGGATCCTAACGGCAGAGATACCGCTGATACCCCTCAGGGTGCGAAGAACTTCGAGATCCTCCGGCGGGCCGGCGAGGACGAGAGTGGCATGGCCGCTGATCAGGATCAATCAGAGGAGGCCAAGCCTGCTGCGAAGGCCGAAGCCTCAAATGATGCCGCCGCTAGCAAGGAAAACGGTAGCTGGAGGCGGGCTCCTGCTCAGCCAGCTGATGCTGCTGACGAGGAGGGCTGGAGCACCGTGAGCTCGAGGCAACGTAACAACCGCCGTGGAGCCGGCCGTACGTTCGCATAGATCTAACGATACCCCGAATGCAGTCATTGCTCGACCGAAACTTCACATTCCTTCCAGGGCGAAATCCTGCTCATGAGGCTCTTCGTACGGTGCCTTGTTTTCACTGTCGCGTACGGCTATCTCCGAGTAGCGCGTTTTCGAGGTTGCTCTGCGAACAACGTTCCTTTCAAATGATGAGATTTTTTGGCTATGTTGATGACTGTTTGTTTTCAATACCAATCGTCCCGCTTCTCTCTACTCTCCATTTCTCTCTGATTGATTCACGACTTTTTCCGTCAGTCAAGATCCCCGATTCACGTCTAGTTTTTGCTACCGTTGTCCGGCATGTCGAAAAGTTTTCTACGTTTCCTTTTACCCCCTCTTACTAGTTGCCTTTAGTTTCCTTCCGAGCTAGTGATTCTCATGTATGTGGATGGACTTAGTATACACTCGTGACCTTTACGGCCGATCTGGATGGAAAGACGCTATGTTATTCTTAACGATGGTTTCTTTTTCTTCCGCGTTTCTCGGCTTTGTCGTGTCCAGTGATTCCCCCCTTTCGTTGTCTTGTTCGGGATCGGGGAATGGCGTGCGGAGTCCTGTTCTTCTTGTTCTTCTAACGGAGCCATGTCCCTGCCTAGTTGACGAGACAGCCATGCGAATAAGATTACGACTCAGCGACCTGCAGAGGTGCTTTCCGGAGCCAAAGAACGGTAGTCTGTCTATCTTGCAAGCCAGGCTTATAAAAGAGAAACAAAAAAAAAAAAGACAAAGACTATCCTTCCCTTTTGCTCCCTCTCCCTCTTCCAACCCCTGATACTGGTAGCCATATACGGAACTTACACAGGGGATCCCCGCTGAGTTTTTATTGTATTCTCGTCGCGTCTCGATTAAGTCTTTCTTTCGGTTAACACGAGGTGATAGAATGAGCAGTACAGTTTTTCTTTTGTTCATCTTGCCGCATCCATAGCCCTAGCGCTGTAATCCCTGTAGAACCGGACGTAGCGCGATGCTGTGGTGGCCATGGCCCGCCCAATGAGTAGAGTACGGAAACTACGGATAGTAGGCTTCTCCCTCTGATACCCCGAATAAGTAATCCGATCCACATGAAATGCGGACCTGGGGAGGCTGGGGACTTCATCATCCCACCTCAGCTGCTGTCGACCGAACCAGATTTGGAAAGATAAGCACAAAAATATACTTTGGCCAAGTCACCCACCACAATCATATTATATTCGGCAGGCCTTTTCTGTCTTATTAAAGATCTATAGATCTGTCCATGACGAAGGGGGAGTGTCTTCACTCTTCAACTTCTATATACGCTTTTCTTTTTTTTTTTCCTTTTTTCCCCCTATCTGTGTTCTTGATACCCCGCAGCTCAGCTGAACAAAATAATGCACCAAAATGATATCCAAAAGAATTATGCGCCGATGGCTTCCCCGCCCTGGAAGCTGCAGTTCCGGTCATCGAGGAGATTTGTGATCTCGGTGGTTGCGATGGCTGTTTTTACGGTTTGGAGTCATATACCTGGTTCTCTGTTCAAGGTGTACTGACGGTGATAATAGGATATTTTTATTTATGGCATGGTGTGTTGTAGCTCAATTGCGTATTACTTGCGGGTGCTCATGGATATGGGCTTGTTAGATTATTCCCATCCTGCCGGTGGTTTTGAAAACACGGGTGGTTGTGCCTGATGATCAACGTATGTGGTTGTTTTTATCTTCTCTTTTGCGGTTGAGAGAAGCTGTCGAGTCGTTGACAAAATCATGCAGTACAGCAATGGATGTCTATCATGCTTGCCGCGTTTGGGGGTGCTATCTTTGTTGGGTCCCGTAAGTTCCTTGTACTTATAGTCATGAGCAAACCCGATTGACCAGCATGAATATAGCTATATTTGGCTACTTTGCCGACAAGGGTACCTCCCGCCAGGTACCATTCATCTTCGGTCTACTCGCGTTGGGCGGTTCGACTATCATGTTCTGGGTTGCCCGGTCGCTCTCTTCGTTGATCATCGCGCGAGTCCTGCAGGGCTTGTCTGCGGCTGTCGTCTGGACAGTCGGCATGGCTCTTGTTGTGGATACAGTGGGAAAGGACGAAGTTGGAGCAGCAATGGGATATGTCTCCATGGCTATGACAGTGGGAACCGTTTTTGGCCCTTTTATCGGAGGGGTCGTGTAAGCCATTTGCTGGATAAAGATGCCTTACCTCGCTGACCCGTATAGACTATCGCGGATAAGTTACGATGCCGTATTTACGATTGCTGTCGGACTGGTCGTCCTGGATATCCTCCTTCGACTTATAATGATTGAGCAGAAAACCGCTTTGAAATGGACTCAGCCACAGATCGCGTGCGAAACAGAGGGTTTGCTGAGTAGTGCGGATGAAACTGGCAATGGCTATCAAGCCACTAGACAGGACCGTTCTGACGAAATATCAGTCAATCCTCGTCATTCTGTTTGCTGGCCTGAGGCCAGCGGCGAGCCAATTTCGAGTGGAAGGACATCCACTCTGCCACCTATAGTGCGTTTGATGTGCTCTAGCAGCGTGTTACTCTTCCTTGGAGCGACCGTAGTCGATGCCATTTTGTGGTCTTCTTTCGACACTGTATGCGGAGCCCTAATCGCACCATCTTGAATGCTTTGTTAACCGGTAGCTATAGGTGCTTCCGCTGCATGTGATGGAGACATTCAACTGGAGTCCCTTTTGGGTCGGGGTCTGTTTCCTGCCATTGTTCGCGCCATCTTTCTTTTCTCCTCTAGTTGGTAGGTTTGGTGACCAGCTAACTGAGTATCGATTGCACTAACCAATCTCAACAGGTGATGCCGTTGACCGCTACGGATCCCGAACAATCGCGTTCCTTGGATTCCTGCTGGACTTCCCTACGTTTTTCCTCCTTCGGCTCATCACACATGACACGACGCAGGACCAGATTCTCCTCTATATTTTCCTATTTATCGCAGGTATTGCATCGACCCTTCAGATGGTGTCTCTCATGACAGAAGTCAGTCTTGTCGTTGAGCGACAGGAGAAGGAATCGCCGGGGATCTTTGGGAGTCAAGGAGGCATGGGGCAAGCGTATGGACTGTTCAATGTCGCCTGGTCCGGTGGCCAGGTATTGGGGCCATTGATCGCGGGGCTCCTGAGTGATCGGGGTGGATGGGTGACGATGGTGAGCGTTTTTGGTACGATGAGTGGCGTTACTGCGGTGGTTATCGGCTTCTCAGATAAGAAAGTTCTAAGGTGTTTCGGGAAACGGACATAGCCTTGTACTGGCTACTTTTTGGACAGTCTGTATTTTGGTCATATACTAACAAGTTTTGCTCTAAGTGAGGCTATAACAGCACTTCTTGAATTGGGTTACCACCATTGCAGATCGTGGTGGCGGGCGGTTTTGCGGCACGAAAGTAAATGCGTTTGCATGATATCACCGGCCGATAAGGCTCCCTTCACAAATAAGGTTTACATGAAGAATGTCAGATCTTCATGTACTGCGTAAGGGGCAAGTGGATGTATAGATGACTGGGACGAATGGCTGGTATGTGTTTCCTAGGAGATAGCGAGGGTTGTTGGAGAGATGGCGGGAATAACGGTTGCAAGGGGGAAAGGAAAGGGCCGCAAGGCTGGACGTTAGAAAGTCTCCTTGTAAGTAGGAATTGCTTCAAGGTAGTTACCTCCTTTGAAGACAAAGACCAGAGAGGTATGTTCCCTTGGAACAAACAAATTGTAAGTCAGCCCTTCCAATCCCCTGTAGGCAGTGAAAGAAGTGAGGTCGTTGGATTTATGAAAATGATCCGTCACAAACATGCGGGGACTAAAGGGATCCACACACGTGTGTCTGCTCAGCGACAATCCATGTTGAAATCCGGGGGAGAAGCTGAGATGGTGTGATTGCCCGAGAGACGATCATTTTAAATACCGATATTATTGACCTGGATTTTGAGGAACCCAACTAGGAAACTGGGTCCCATGTAAGATATGACGGTGGTTGGATTTTCCCTCCCAATCCAATATATCCACCCCCAAATACTAAGAATAGATTAGAATACAAGTAAACAATACATTAGCAATACACCAGACACAGGCGCCTAACGTCGGGTAACTCCACTGCTTACCCGCCATCATTGCACTTATTCCATCTCTGTCTGTTGACAGAAGCCTTTCTTATTCTTCTGGCACTAACGGCTGGCACCCTTCCTTTTCTTCTTCCCTATTTGGTAGCGATGCGTGTGTGTCACTAACATTAGCCTTCTGTTTCTATTTAACTGGATCGCCCCCATCTCTGAAACTCGTACTTCGATTTCTGCGACACGGTTCTGACCGGAGATCCTTCTCATTTCCCTAACCTAATTTCCTACTCAACTTACGCTGCCATTTTCAAACCTGTCAGCAATTCATGAAAGACGCAAGATGTCGACCACAACGACCACTGCCGCTCTCACATCGACCACGCTGGTTGGCATGCTTCCCACAATAAACGCGACGGGTCTTATTCCCGGGAAGAATTGTCCAACCTGTGGCCAGCAGACGACTCTAGTACAGGAGCACGCCGCTGATCAGAGAAGGATCAAGGAATTGGAGGGGCAGATTAGCTTCTTGAGTGTCCAGGCTGCACAAACAGGTAAGGAACTGCACCATGACATGTCTCAATTGTCATTATAATCTTACAACCGCGAGAGGTTCTATACTGACTGTAATCTCCCTTGACAGCCGAGAAACTCGCGAAGTATGAGCACGAAGTTCGTCGTCTCCGGACTCAGGCCTCCACATATACCTCGCGAAATGGCTCCTCCGTCTCATCTACGTCCTCCAACGAAATGAACCGGCCTCTATCACCCCCATCTAATTCGCAGGGACGTCTATCGACTCTCACATCCTTTCTCCATTCCCGCGGGCCCAGCAACACATCCCCGACTCAAACACCCGCGCAACCCGTCTCCCGACCCCCGTCGCGGCAAGCCAGCCCAGACCATACAGCCGAGCTGCAGAATGCGCTAGATCGCGAACAGAGCCTGCGACGAGCTGCAGAATCACAATTATCGCAGGCCAGTTCCGAGCTAGAGGAGTTAACCGCGCAACTATTCAGCCAGGCCAACGAGATGGTGGCCCAAGAGCGCAAGGCCCGCGCGCGGCTCGAGGAGCGAGTGGCGGTGTTAGAACGTCGGGACGTTGAGAAGAGGACCCGTCTTGAGCGACTCGAGAAAGCGATGGAAAGAGTCGAGCGCATCCGGACACTCGTTGGTCAGTGATCTGCGCCGGACAGAAGTCTGCCATACTCTTTTTCTTTTGTTTTTTTTTTTTTCTCTTTTATTTTACTTGGGTTTGGTTTGGTTATCTTTATACCCTGGTGTTTACAGCGACTGCCCCTCATGGTTTGAAATTTGGCATGAGACATGACTCGATGCTTTTCGGGTTCATTGCCCATGAAGGTTATGATCAGCATCTATGGCGTTAGGCACTTGATTTAATTTTGGGCTTTTTTGTTGGGCAGTCGCGGGGCGTTATTAATGTCTGTCCATACTGTCCACTCCATATGTCGATGTACATGGCGACGATATATATTCGTGTTTCTGTGCAGATATACAACGATCAGAATGTCTCTACTAGTTATATATATACCATTTGCACATACGTCCAGAACACCAGAAAACACCAATCTAAACCAGTATTTTCCCAATCCTATCCGGAAACAAAATTAAAATAGAAAACAATATCCTTTCAAATCCGCACGTTTTTGTGAACCCCGCCAAATCTGGAACTAATTTCTGAGACCCACCCAACCCGGTTAATATCAATAAGAAAAGTAACTCTAAGGGTTCGACCTTCTATTCATACTCCTAGATTCTCGAACTATCGATTGATACTCTGTCCCGAAACACACATATCTTTTTTTTTAAAAAAAACTTTTATGTACAGATCTGGATATACAAAGCATCAACTCGACTAAAAAGAAAAACACTAATTGAATCCCCCACCATGCCCATCGGCGTAGCCATCATAGGAAGTGGTACGTTTAACCACAATGCAAGATTTGTATAAAACAAACCCTAACAGAGAAACAGGGAACTTCGCCCGCGAAGAACACCTGGTATGTTTCTCGTACTGAACAAGGCAACATAGCTCTCTCTGAACCATGAACAATATGACTAGCCCGGCGTACAAGCATCGGACGCATTCGACTTGAAAGCCATCTATTCGCGGTCCCTCACTTCAGCGCAGGCCCTCGCGACCGGAGTCTCCGGAGTTGACCTGTACTCGGGAGATGCAGGGCCGGGGAAAAGTTACGATGATCTGCTTGGTCGGCCGGATATTAAGGCCGTTATTATAGCGTGCGTTGGTTCTACAGTAGCTACGCAAGTTGACGGGGAGGGGGCTAATACGATACGCACGATATAGTCTCCCCATCCTAGCACAGCCAGAGTTCATCCGCAAGGCCCTGATAGCGGGGAAACATGTTCTGTCTGAGAAGCCAATCGCGAAGGATCTATCTGCGGCGCAGGACCTGATCAACCTCCACAATTCCCGCATCATCAGCAGCAAGACCATTTGGGCTGTGGCCGAGAACTGGAGGTACATGAGCAAGTTTGTGCGGGCTGCGCAGGAAGTGCGTAGACTTGGCGGTGTGAAGAATTTCCGGGTCACCATGAGGAGTATGATTAAGCCTGGGTCGAAGTATCATAGTATGTGTGCCCTTTCTATTGGATATCGGTCGGGGAGATATAAAAGGTGGGTGGGCTAATGTATGCGAGTAGAAACGGAATGGCGTCGGAAACCCGAGTACAAGGGTGGGTTTGTTCTAGACGGCGGTGTTCATGTTGTTGCTGCACTGCGGTTGATTCTGGGACAGAGTGATGGTCTGGCTATGGTGGCTGCGCATTCGTCGCTGCGGCAGGAGCATCTTGCCCCTGTTGATACTGTTGATGCGTTGGTTAAGACCCGGTCAGGCGCTACGGGTGTGCTGTCTGTCTCGTATGGTTCGGAGATCAATGATTCCGTTTTCGAGTTTACGTGCGCGGACGGTGTCGTGACGTTGGATTTTGATCGGTTGACGGCGAATGGTGAAGGTTATGATGTGCCGTTTGAAGGCCGCGGCGTCAATAAGGAGCTTGTTGAGTTCGCCGAGTCCATTACCACTGGAGCTGGGATTGCGACCCGCTTGCGACCGGAGGAAGCATTGGCGGATTTGGAGGTGATGGAAGGCATCTTCACTAGTAGCGAGAAGTCAGGAGAAAAACGGAATCTGCACCTACAGATCTGAAAGGGGTAGAAGGATAGACCAATACAATAGAAGATAATACAATGTATGTACAGTATGGTATGGAGTAGAATTGGAGATCAGAACCAAAGCATAACAATTGATACGGGGGACGATAAGAGAGGAAGGTCGAAGCCGGATGACATAATCCAGCCAACGATCGACACCAGACCCGAAGCGGTAGGTCTTGGCAGGGCTTTCACCCTAATTTTCAGCTTAGCGAGGCGTTAGCACCCGACTGCACTGGGCGGCCAACCTCAGCGCGAATTTTTGAGATCGAATTCGACCCGTCACGACAACTCGAGCGCCAGCGGCCTTACGAAACCGACAAGGTATGTTCTATTCCGGGATGATGGACGTATATTGTCGTTGTTATTGATACTAATTGGAATCCAGATGGTCCTCGCAAAGAAGCACGTCCCCATCGTCAAGAAGCGTATGTCAAAATCCTGCCTTCCTATTTTCCCGTCCAGCACATCCACCACAGCCCAGGTCCCATGTATAGCAAGAGTGTCGGCGAAAGGAGGAATTAAGGAAGGTTCACACGAAATTTTTCGATGAAAGACGGAGCATGATATCACTGTTCGAAGGAAGAATCAAGGAATTCGACAACGACTGGGCAATTTGATGAAACACTTGGGAGATATACATCGGGACTTCTGGGACACAATCTACCACACATGCACACTCGGGCTATTGAAATATCGGGGATCACTGACAAGGATTGCAAAATACAGGCACCAAGACCTTCAAGCGCCACCAGTCGGACCGCTTCAAGTGTGTGCCTGAGTCATGGCGCAAGCCTAAGGGTATCGACTCCCGCGTCCGTAGACGCTTCAAGTCGAACATTCCCATGCCCTCCGTACGTTTTTCTCCGTTCCAGTCTCGATCCGGAAGTGAAATATCACAGCGCGACCGGTGATCGAACTTGCGATTTGCTCAGCGAAACAATGAATACTGATATGGCTTGAATCGATAGATCGGCTATGGCTCCAACAAGAAGACCAAGCACATGATGCCCTCCGGCCACAAGGCTTTCCTCGTCCAGAACCCCAAGGACGTTGAGCTCCTCCTCATGCACAACCGCACCTACGCTGCTGAGTACGCCTACCCTTTCAACCGAACTATGCAACGCAGAAAAGCGCATCAAACTAACATGATGATTTTGTAGGATCGGCCACGCCGTCTCCTCCCGCAAGCGCGTCGAGATCGTCGCCAAGGCCAAGGCTCTTGGTGTCAAGGTTACCAACCCCAAGGGCCGTGTCACCACTGAGGCTTAAATGCTTTAGCCTAATTAAATCAACAATTAAAATCATTATACCAAAGCATTTTCAATTGGAGATGGGGATCTCTGGCAAAAGCTGCAAGGTGTCGCTTCGGTTTCTTGTATGGTCGTGAATTGAAATGAATCATCTCGTGGCGATAACGAATTTCTCTTATGTGCATGATTGGGTGGCTGGTACCAGCACTGGGATATAAAATAGAAATGGGGGCTTTTCCATTGCGATTCCCTTCCTCGGCCTTGTCCCTTTTGATCGGGCGGTAGTGTTTGAGCGTAGGACGTACCTAGATCCGGCTTTAAATAGCAACTTCATGAGTGGGTTCTGCGCCGTGTTGGCATCCGTAGAAGAGCAGGATCTGGTACCACTTCGAGTTGCAGCTGCCAACCTGTATTTGCGCCATCCTAAGCACCCGTCTATGCCCTCAATACTTGGGAATTATGGAACGGTATATTCTTTAGGTCAATGCTAGACCAAGTACCCAATGCTCTACATATATACCAGCGGCTAAAAACATAGAACTCCTGATATCCATGCATACAGGTATCATGTAGTCGTAAACATCAAGTCTATGCAAATATAGGAGAGCAAAAAGTCTAACACGACAAGGAAAGATCAAGCAGACTGCTATTGCTCTGCAGCCTCTCGCTATCCACCACTCCCACGCCCCGAACAAGGACACTTCCCTGACTCCGCTTCGGCTTGTCTTCATCCTCCATGCCCTCAGGTACAGTTCCATTCCCGATCACGATCTCTTCCTCCTCCGGCACGGGCTCCCAGTCAGGGACTGCCTGAGGACCATCCATGCCTGGCGGGGGGAGGGCCCAAGAAGGCATCTTGCTGCGGTACTTCCAGTCGCCATTATCCGAAGAGTAAGCAACGGCATGAAGAAAGATACCCAGCTCATGCACACCAGGATCAGTATAGAGGTCCGTACCACAGACGTCACACTGCTCGCCGGAAAGCCTCTCACCCTTGCGCTTATGGTACTCCACAAGGGCAGCCTCGTGCTCGCGGGACATGATGCCCTCGATAACGGAGGACTCCGTACCCGGTGGCACAAGCGGTGCAGCAGTAAGATGAGTCCGGTACGAAACCGTATCCGGAAGCTCAGTCTTGCCCATATTGTTCAACCGCTCCATGATCTCATCATCCCGATCACCGCTATCCTCGCTCTTTCCCAGGCCGGGCCCGAACACACGCCGATTCGAATAAATCGGATCATTCGTAATCGGATGTCCCAGGAACTGAAGATGCACACGAATCTGATGCGTGCGTCCCGTCAACGGCAAACAATGCACGATACTATACCCATCCTCCTCGTTCGAATACGCAGGCGGCGGCGTCGCAGCCCGGTCCCCTCTCGCTGCAGCCGGCTCCGGAGCATGAGGGGGGTAGTACGCCAAACGGCGGAACTTTGTCTTCGCCGTCTTACCAGTAGCGCGGACCCGGTTCAGTCCTAGCTTTGGACTAACCTGCATGATGGGCTGGTCGCAGACCACCACCCCGTCTGGGAACTTGCCCTTCACCCGTGTCACGTACTCCTTGTGCACAGATCGCTCTTTCAGCTTGCTGGCAACCATTTCTGCTGCTTTGGGATCTTTGGCGATGAACATCACGCCGGAGGTTAACCGATCCAGTCGATTGCAAGGCCGGGGCACCCAACCACCACCACGCTCGGCACGGAGGATCTCAATTACGGTGTTGTAGTGGTACCGACCGGCAGAGTGGACAGGCACACCGGCCGGTTTGTCGATGACGATGAGGCCATCGTCTTCGTGGATGATGCCGATCTCCTGGCTTGTGACGGGAGGTTCGTGTCGGTGCAGGGTATGCGAGATGACATCGCCGTTCTTCACTTTTGTATTCGGTCCGGCTGGTTTACCGTTAACAGAGACTCTGCCGGCTTCTAGGGCCTCTCTCTGGAGATACAATCAGTCAAAATGATCCAGCGCGATTGTGATCCCGTGTGTCAGAACATACGTAGTACTCTGGTGGGCGATCGCGAAATTCGGAGATAAAGATGTCGACTAATTCCCGACCCCTCCATCGCTCCTTGCAGAATGTGTTGTATGTATAATGGTATGGACTGACACGGCGAAATCCTCCCTCGAAGTAATAGGGGCCTGTTGGTGGTTCGCAGGGCGTTACAGCCACTTTGGGTGGTTCTGCGACAGGGTCCGGAGGAGGCACCTTGAGTGTCGTGTCGACGGGTGTGAGAGCCATGGTGGAAGCAGGAAGCCTGCCTTTTCGCACAAGATAGGCGAGGACACGAGGTGAAGGAGCCAAATTTAAGGGTTATGGAGAGTATCACGAGTTCATGGGCGGCGGTTTAAACTGATGAAAAGTAATTTTAACGTGGGGTCGGAGGGGCGTTCCTGAAATTCAAAAAAAAAAAAAAAAAAAGAAAAGAAAAAAAGAGTTTACGGTTCTTGGCGTTGCTGCCCCAGATTCATGGAACCAACATCCATTTACTAGGACGAGCGCACATAGCTTAGCCCTTATATATATTGAGGGAGGTAATATATGGAAGTTTATAGTAAACGATATGCTCATGAAGAACGATGCTTTGATTAGACTTGGTTTTGCTACTTGTATGTTTTATGAGGGAATTTGATATATATTATGCTGTACCATCTATATATTTAGTTGATTTATAGATTTCTAACTGTCTTGCTCTGGAAAAGTGTAATTTAGGCCACGGGAATCATATTGGGATAGACTTGAAAACATGCCATTAAGGGTAAATAGCACTTTTACTTGTCATAATCTCGTCTGTTGACCCCTCGTTAAATTAATCATGACCTCGAAGATGCACTAACACCTACTTGTCTATAAGTAGAGGTATATTTGAGGCTCTTTATATTCCAGGTTGAAATATTTCAATTTGCTGAAGAGCGAAAGGTAGAGATGCTGTCGAGGTAGTTAAATGGAATAGTTCTGAGAGACAAATAATCGTCAATATCCTGACCTTGTTGAGCAGACAGCATTACGTGGGTGAAAAGCTCCTCACCTCTTCGGGGTCCTCTCGGAATTTGACTGAGAAATGGTCGTATATCGACCAAAGGAATCCCACAGAGCAACAAAATGAGCAATCAGACCACTCTATAGGCTAAACTTATCAATCGGCTTCGTAAGAGAAACATCCTATTTAATGCGCCATTCTCTCTTCTCTTGCACTTAGTTTGCTTCACTTATCTCACATATGCGTAGTCAGAATAGACTGCCCATTTCCTATCCAATCTACAAAGAGATAGACTGCCAGTTCAATCTAGCTCCTCGTTCTTTCTATCCAACTGCATGACCGGGCTTTTATACCCTGTTTCTCTACAATCTGTTAAGGAACTATGAAAGAGCAATAGCATATGAATCACGATGAATTCGATTGTTAGCCAATTGCTTCCTCTTTTAGTCATGGATATCCAGAAAACACAATTGTACAGACGCCCCTTAGCGCCTTTTCCATCTTGCCTCATTCTCCTAGGATAAACCTAGAATGGCCAATTCCAGCCCTTGTCGTTTTTGTTCTAAGCACACTGCCTGATAGGAATTGGATATCCTCCCGGCCATGTCCACTGGCAAACCTGCGAGCAGCAAGATGAAAAATGAATACATGGCCAACCGTTTGAATGACAGTGATCTTTCGATTCTGTCGTAGTTATATTAGACGGAGTAGGGGTTTCCACAGCCTGGCAATCTTTAACCTGGATGCATGCACTGTCATTGGTTTTTGATGTCTCTTTTGACGACTGAAGAGTGAATTTCTCGGATGAGTTATGGTTCTGTGAGGGTTGGTTATGGACGTCAACTTTGTGGTCGATCGATGCTACCAATGTAGCAGTAGCGAAGACGGCGATGCTAGTGAGGTAGAGGGTGTGCATGATGTTATGTAGTTTGTTTCACGCTGTTGGGTATATAGTATTATACAGTTCTAGATTGATGTGCTCGGAGAATGCTTGTTGGATTGGTCTTCTTCCTCTCCGTGGGTGGAGCTCTCAAGTGTGGACGGGACGAACTGGCAGTGAGGCGTAGATGATAGGAATGATGAGCGTGTTTTGGATGATGATGGTTTGAGATGCGTTCTTGAATTGTAATTTTTCTTGTACTTCATGACTTAACGATTGGTCGAGTATAGATACCTCACAATATCAGCTGCTGAACCCTCGTAATGGATTGGGATTGATACTCAAAAAGGCAGGTGCGATCCTCAGTAACTTCAATCTGTCTATGCATTGCGCTCGAATGTTCCTTCTCTTGGGGCGTCTATGATAAACCTACTGCTCGGTACAGGATAGTTCGTTCGCAGGCGAGCCCAATTGCAGGTACGACGTTCAGATTGAATTGTCTTTGGCAGTGATACTTCTCATAGCTGTTTAAAGTTCAAGGAGTTACACATGACCGGGACAAACACAGAGCTCATGCTGCTCTTTCCTTTTCACCATGAACGATATACATCATTCATATAAATAGCTTGGCCTTCTTTAGCTCTCCGGGACCATTAACTGTGACGCCCCAGTTTGACCCATAAAAATCGCACACCATGCCCGGGTATACAGACTAGACGGCCACTAATTACCCTCCTTCATGTTTATCAATGCTATAACCCTTATCAGATCCGCAGACTTCCCGTCCCCCAAAGCCTCCACCGAGTTACCCAGGGTCTCTTCCATTGCGGTGGGTTAAGCACGATATAGACTATCGACAAGACCGCCGATCTACTCCATATCAGGCAAAGCGCCGGCAAAAGCAACCTCGGCTAATTCCTTCCTCGGAAATAACATTTAATATGGACATCTCCATCTGAATCCGATAAGAACATACTCCGAGGAACAAGCATATCAATGTCTCCAGCCTAATAACCTCACCCTCCTACATCCCTCCATAGCAGTCCAGCATAGCAGACCCAAATATGGCCCCCAAAGAGATCGAAATCAAGAAACGTCGCACCCGGAGCGACTACGTCTTTCATCAAGTATACCGAACAAGATGGTACAGTAAATACTATTCAAAACAACACCCCGAATAAATATTAAACAAAAAGGGAAATAGGTTTGATAACGATATGTACGCGCACCTTAACAATACTGTCTACGCAATGCTCTTCGACTCCATCGTCAACAGCTGCTTATCGCCGAATGTGGCATGGACCCCTTCTCCATCAACAATAAGGATTCGGATTCGTCCGCAAAGACCAACTCAGCGTCCCAGGTGGGTATCATGGTCAACTCGTACTGCGATTACTTTGCCTCGGTGTCTTTTCCCGATGTGTTAGACCTTGGACTTCGGGTTGCGAAGCTCGGTTCGTCGAGTGTTATCTATGAAGTTGGGGTTTTTAAGCAGGGGGAGGAGGAGGTTAAGGTTGTTGGGGGGTATATGCATGTTTTTGTGGCCAGGGAGACAATGAGGCCGACCAAAGCGGGAATGGAGGAGAGGGTGAGGAAGGGATTGGAGAAGTTGGTTAAGGGGGGTGGCAAGGAGGGGGCAAAGTTGTAGAGCCTCTTTTTTCTTTTTTCTTTTTTCTCCCTGTTCTTTTACTGTTCTTGTGATATCTAGTTTAGGGTTTAGATTTGGGCTGCTATCTCGTACAGCTGTTTCTGGAGACTACTAGTAGTATGTGGCTGATGTGGAAATAGCTTGACCGCCTCTTTCACTACTATTGATACATTCGTGATCCGATAGGATGAAGGAACCAAGATGGAAGAGCCTGTACAATTACTATTCCTAATTATACCTCCCCGACACAAGCCGGGAACCAGCATATCAATATCACGTCGAATCTTGTCGACGGGATAAGCCATGCCCTACTAGTACTTGGCCGGGAAGCCCTTGCATGGAAAACACCGTGAACATTTACCAATCACATGGGCTGCAGATAGATCCTACCTGCAAGTGATGGATGGTATCATGCATATCCAATCGAACACTGCAACTAACGGGTATCCACTTCTTACTACAGATGATACGTATCTTTAGGGTTGGTTCCGCCTAAAATTCAACATACACAGAGAATATTATCAATCGAGCAGTATCGTGCTCCGCTGCCATATTGTATCGATGTCTATCAAGTCACTATTAAACTCCCGTTCAAGTCTGTTGTTCTTGAACCACGTAATAACCGAAAGAATCATCACGGCCAATATCCATCGTGATGACATATAACCGCTCATGTCGCAAATAATGAAACAAGCAGGTCTATCTTTTTTTTTAACCCAAACACCATCGCTGTGTAAAGCAAATATTCGTAACAGTCGAGCTATCAAGCATGTTCATAGGTATAACAGAAGCAGAAAATAATGAATCGCTTGTACGCTCGCTTTCAATAATTCAAGAATAGCAAATGCCTTTCTTAGCCTGCCAAGCCATGTCCTGCAGGAAGCCAGCTGCAGAACAGATTTCGTTATGGTCGGATGGTGAGAAACCATGTAAAGAGGCCCAAAACTGTCAGGACGCTAGCCCTAGGGATGGGCTATTGAGGAAGTCGCAATTAGCCTAGCTTGCTTGGGACAATGCTGGCGCGGGAAACATTCGTGCTGTCAGGGAACAGTACTCGGCGCATTGTTTGCGTTTCCGAGTCGTAGTGCCATTTTTGATAGGGCCCCGGAATGAATTTTCCCTTGGCATCCCATCCAGTAACCCAGGTGTCTCCGTCATCAAGGCGGAAGAAGAGAAATCTTTCCGGCTTAGCGCCTTCATGGACGGTCACCGAATGCCAACGGCATCTGTCCTCCAGTTCATACTCGAACATGTATCGGTGGAGGATGCGACAGTAAACAAGTGGGACAGGAAGTTTTTCTTCGTACTCATTCCCATCCTTGTAAACAAGGTGCCATCCACGGCCAGGGATGTATTTGTAGATGCCTGGGACAGGAGATTCCCAATGTTCTTCTTTATGGATGGACCCCTGGATGCGCTCCCCACGCTGGAACCAGTATGTGGGGCAGAAGACAGCTCGGAGGCAGAGGAAAAGGTTGGGCGCCATAACGATTCGAGATGATACCTTGTTGACGATGTTGTATGGGCAGGTAGATTCACCTAGACAGGTGAGGTTTGAAGAAGCAAGATGGCTTAAAATGCACAAAGTGAAACGCTTAATTGCGGGAGAACGGAAAGCGTTGCGATCAAGAAAGAACGAGAAGGTGGATAGTTTATAAGTCGACGTCCATCTTGACAAACACAAGTAAAACAACTCAAGTTGGAAGGATAACTTAAGGTGAATAGGTTGTTGGTCCGATTGAAAATCGGTTATAGCTCCTTCGGGCGCAGTGGCGTTAATTGGTCTGGATAATTGATAAAGGTACAGTTGGATGGTTCCCGCAGGACAGGAAGATGAGCCGCGAGACACGTAACGATGCGGTGTGCACTATATATGCGTCCCGCGATGATCTAGGCCTATGCTTAGTTGCACAGGGTGATTTCGGGAAGCTGCGATGGTAGGTTGATGAGACAGGTGTTTTTCAAAGGAGACAGATAAGTCAAGGATAATGCAAGAGACCGGGATACACGACTATGTGGTGCGGCGGTGGGAGATGCACGGTGCACACAGAAGCTGTCGTTTCTTATTGCTCAGAGGAAGCGCATGGTAGCAGGCTTGCATCTAAGTGGACGATAGGAGGCAGCAGCATGTTAAAGGAATTTGCTGTGTAGGAAACAACAAGGAACATGACGGGAAGATCACAAGGTACAGCTTTAAAAATGATGGTGGGATGTGGGTGCCTGACAACCAGGGGCGGTCTGAGATCAGCTGGGACTAGAAAAATTTTTCTGATATTGGAGGCTAGACCCTAAGCAAGTACGCGGGTCCGAAGTCTGGTAATGTGGAAAATCGGTGGTTCTCCGTAACTCTTTGCAAGGCTGCAACGGCAAACCCAAATCTCTGCGCGCGGGTAACCCGAGACCCACCGGTCCACACTCGGAGGATATTTTTATAAATTTTTAATGGTGAGTGTGTGGTGAGTGTTGAATATCAATTACTTCAATTGTCATAGGCTCCGCCATTGGCCTCAGCTGTGTCTCTTCATCTCATGACTCAATTGCTTGGCAGTCGACAATATTGATAACAATTACATGATCGACTCGAGAAATTGGTGATGTCGCGTCCACCTCCTGGCTTGGTTTCCGGGTGGATATGGTTCGAGACCACCGTCTTCAGCAAACCCGTTCTTGGCCTTACTCATTGGTAAGCTATCAAACTTTTCTTGCTTGCTTGCTTTCTTTCTCGCTCTCCGTATAGGTATTTTCTGTTGTGATATTCTCTTTGTTCTAGTTCTCTGGACGGCTTTGTTGCAGGCCTCGGGTGGATTCGTAGATGATGCAGGTTAGGTCAAGAACCCCAGCCATGTGCGTGTTATCTATCACTGAATTGGTGGGATTGGCTGGTAAATCAAACTCAGGGCGCTCGGTTCACTCGCCAGGATTCCGGTCCTAGTCATCTCCTTTCATTAGCTATTTGTTGGAAGTGACGAGATATGGCCATAACTTGGGAGAAAGCAAGAAACGCAAAACAGTCACCGCTCTTAGAGCCTTGGCAATTCTGTGAACTCTGACCGGAATACCTATACTATCTCCATCCTTGTGGGACTGATAGCCCAAGACTTAATTAGTTTGCAGAGTGCCGGCGAAACATGTCTGCCTACACGAAAACTGTATGATGGCGCTACCACTAGATTCAGCGCTATTGTTTCTGCAGCAGGTAGAGTTAAGGAGGTTTCACAGACATCAGTGAGTGAATAAGCAGACAAGTGAAAAGGATGGTAATAGCGAATGTTAGTGATCATGAGGAGGGCATTTCAAGAGGGGAAGTTAAAGGGAGGGGTCAAATCCCATGATCAGCACTTGCTGTACGACTACTAAACAGGAACACTAACCAACTCTTTTAAGTTGCTACTACTACTACTAGTAGCCTGAGCCTGGAGTACTCTCTTTCTCTGACCTCACCTGAACTTCTCTAACCTTCCCTTTCCGGCACGATTCTCTCCTGAGATTGAGTCCGTGTCACCGCTACTAGGCAAATATTTTCGTTTCTAAATGGCCTGACTCTACTAAATCTATTGAGGCAGCCACTACAGACTATTGTACAGTACTGTAACTGTACCCCGGGTAAGGTTGAATTTATCCGTGAATATAATTAGTTATGATCGATGCCACTGTCAGTTCGGTTCGAGAAAGACCCGACCGAATAATGGAATTCTATACGGTGAACACACATCCGGAACAGCCGAAAAATTACCAAAAGTCCTTGTTATGGGTATTTCAAATCATTACAGCTCCTTACATCGATGGTATCTAGATTCATCCTTCAATGATTATGCCGGGGGTTCTCATATCGCTGGGCAAGTCGTTGGTATTTTACCGCGTCTCGGAGGACCATACCATCGCTTAACTGCGTCGTCTCCCTCCTGAACAGCTCCTGCCATGGAGTTTGACTTTCTGGAACATCATAACCCCCCCGGGCTTCTAGCGCCTTTCTCCGCTTTTCCAGCTCCTCCGTGGAGACAAGGATGTCGACGCGCCGTTTGTTGAGATCAACACGGAGTCTGTCCCCATCTTGAAGGAGGGCTAAATTTCCACCCGCAGCTGCCTCGGGACTAGCATTGAGGATGGATGGCGAGCCGGAAGTACCCGATTGTCGTCCGTCTCCAATGCACGGAAGCGATTTGACTCCTTGTCGCAAAAGCCGTCCAGGTGGGTGCATGTTGACAACCTCGGCGGCACCTGGGTACCCCAATGGGCCAGCACCGCGCATCACCAGGATACTTCTGTCGTCGATGGGAGTGGAAGGGTCTTCAAGTCGGTGATGATAATCCTCCGGTCCATCAAACACTACAACCGTGCCCTCGAATGCATTCGGGTCCTTGGGATTTTCCAAGAACTTCTGTCGGAAAGGCTCCGATATCACACACGTTTTCATAATAGCGGATCGGAACAGACTGCCTCGGAGATGGAGAAAACCGGCATCTTCCAGAAGTGGCTCGTTATACGGCTTGATCATTCGACGGTCCCAGGTATGTTTGCCCCGGACATTCTCGGCTACTGTGAAACCGTTACATGTTAAAGCATCCGCATTCAGCTTCCTGGCATCTAGCAACTCCGCCATAATCGCGGGTAGCCCGCCCGCCCGGTAGTATTCCTCTCCCAGCAGCTCACCGGCTGGTTGCATGTTCAGCAGTAGTGGAATATGAAATCCGAGTTGATCCCAGTCATCCAGTGAAACTTCTACCCCAATATGTTTGGCGATGGCGTTGATATGAATGGGGGCATTCGTACTGCCGCCGATAGCAGTGTTAACTACAATGACATTCTCGAAAGCCTCCCGAGTCATAATGTCGCTGGGCTTCCGATCAGAATGAACCATTTCAACAATACGCAAACCTGTTTCGTAAGCACATTGCCCACGTTCACGGTACGGAGCCGGTATGGCAGCCGACCCAGGTAGGGCCATTCCAAGCGCTTCCGCCAAAGCATTCATAGTTGATGCTGTTCCCATTGTGTTACAATGTCCCACTGATGGCGCACTATTACATCGTCAGTGAATGTGCTTCCATGGTTATCGTTGGACATACCCTCTGGACACATAGTCAATGAATTCCTCCTTGTTGATTTCACCTGCCGCATACATCTCTCTACCCTTCCATACTACCATCCCGGACCCTGCCAGGTCATTCTTCACGTAACCGTTAAGCATTGGGCCAACATTCAAGCATATTGCTGGAATATTCTTCGAACAAACATCAATTATATGAGCAAATGAGCGGGGATACGGGAGTTACGCACCACTGTAGCCGCGGCCATCAGAGCGGCGGGAGTAGTCTTGTCGCAGCCCGTCAGGAGGACTACACCGTCCAAGGGATATCCGAAGAGAATCTCTACCAGACCCAGATACGACAGATTTCGGTCGATACAGGCAGTGGGTCTCCTGCTACTCTCCTGAATAGGATGCGTGGGAAACTCAAAGGCGATACCTCCAGCGGACCTAATACCTTCTCGGACTCGTTTCACCAACTCGAGATGATGGCGGTTGCATGGGGACAAATCGGACCCGGACTGTGCTATTCCGATTATTGGCTTACCGGACATCAGTTCTTCCCGGGTGATGCCATAGTTGAGGTACCGCTCAATGTAAAGGGCCATCATGCCCGGGTCACTCTCGCAATTGAACCAGTTGGCCGACCGTAACTTCCGGGCCCTTGATGCATTGGCGTTTGGCCGGCCATCTTGCATGGATGCCAGAGTTTTCTCAAGCTCCACTGTACGCCTCCGAAGGGCAAGCAGTTCGCTCTCACAGTCCTCAATGTTGACAGGTGGTCGGCTGCCCCCGTCACTGCAGGAGCAGCCCTCACATGAGGTGCGTGACTGACATGACATGGTTGGGAGAAAACCTGGGATAATTTGATCGTATATTATTTATAAGCCGTCGGTACTAGATCGTGGGCTGGAAGGCCATTAGCCACTTTCATTCTGCGATTCTCTTTACTGGAATCTCAGTATGGCTATATTTCTTCTCGTGTGATTACCTTTGTCTAATTATCTTCGCTCTTACGGATGGTAAAAATAAGCTGAGAAAGACGAAGTGTTGTGAGATTAAGTAACCCTGTCCGGTATCACATCAAATGCGGGACACAATCAATGCCGAACAATCCGGACAATCTCCGACATCCACAGCCGTATTAATGCCGAAACCAGGGTTGCAAGAGATGACGGGAGATCGGGCGGCGGGAATGCAGGACCATTTAAATAAGAACCGTACAGGAACCCCCCATCATATCCCCATTCTTCGGGTCAGAAAGCTGGATGAATTCTCGGTACGTGTTGGTCGATTGTGGGGGCAAATGATGGAGACCCATCAATCGCTCTTCTACCCCACGCTAGTATCACAAAGCATCGATGCATGGGGGTGCATCGAATCTGCTGTGTCCATTGATCCCATTCAGATATCATTTCTAATTTACCCCCGGAGTCATGTATCCCGGCCACAGATTAGCATGATATTATGTTCAACTTGCAACCCCAGTTGCTGTTATTTGGCGAGCTAGTATGGTGGACCGAAACTTTTACATACATACACAATCAATATCGAATTGCACAACAGCGAAAGGCTTATGGCGTCTTTTTGAGAATCAACAACGGAACTAAGTTTCATGGAACCATTCTCTCCATAGCAATTCGATGCAAACCGCTAACCTTCCCCTTTTCCATATAATAGTGAGTTTCGCCCCTATGCATCATAGAATCGGATTCCCCATCGAGGAGACTCTTCCTCGGTACTAGACCTGTTAACACTTGTGATAACTGACTAGATTGGCTTGCGCAGCCATCGTCAAAGGCATATGTAGGTTTTAGTTATACCGTTGCTATTGCATGAGGTGATGTCTATGACCTTCGATAAGAAGTTAAGGAATATGGATATAAAATGCCACCCGTCGGTAATCACTCCAAGACACAAACATCCTGGCCCATCTTCTGCCGCGCTTTGGAAATAGGGCCTACAATATTCATATGAGCTCTCACTTTCAAAATGAAGCAAGCATGACCAGGCCGGGGCTTGAATACTACAGTGGATTCGGCGAGAATCCGTACTTCCTTCTGCCAGAGTTCATAGCCTAGTGTACACTCCAAGCCAACTCTCGGGCGCAGTTTCAAAGGAGACGATAATCTCAACAGCTCTGTTTCGGTTGCAACGCAAGCAGCAAACATCGTCGCTAGCCGCCCGTGATGAAACTCCTCCACAAGGCCGATGTTGAGCAGCGGGGTACTGCTTAGGATTAGCAAGTCCCGGTAAATTGCCACTATACCAGTCAGTAAAGAATGGTATAACGGCTAACGCGGCGTCTGAGCAACACTCACGGAGATGCTCCGGCCCTTTCATATCCTCCCATGGTATATAGTCTCTTCGTGCCTCTTGATCCGTCGGCCGTAATCCTGAGTAGAGACTGTCGATAGGCAATTGTGTGACATAGTCGTGGTGGATCAAGCCCCTGAGACTGAGCAAAAAATGCTAGACATATTTGTAATGCACTTAAATGAGGCTTCAATATATACTCATACTACTGTGGATGTCCTAGCAACGAATGACAGATAAGACAAAGTAAAGAAGACTACTACTAGTAGTTACAAATCACCAAGAAAGTCATTGGTCATGGGTCCATCCCACATTTTCCCCCCACGGGGGCGACTGATCATCTCCAGAAAGTGGAGCTTAAAGACCCTTTAGAAGCATCGGATGACGGCATTCCGTGAAGCTGAGTTGGTCTATGTATTCTAGTACTACCACGCATTATTCATGTCCTGTAAATATGGTTAAGCAACGGTCATAAGTCAATACGGATAATTTTCCCCACTTTGTTCATAACAAGTGTTTTCCCGTGAACGCCCATGATGCCAGAGAAGAGTTGGCACAAATGCATCCAAGAGATCTATTCATCGACGAATGCACAAAACGGTAAAGGTATAATTGCAAGAAGACAAGGAAAGTTGGCCTCTACTGGGCCGCACATTGAGCCGGTTCACCCTCATCATCATCATCTTCCCATGCAGAGCCGCCGTGAGCGTCCCTGGCACCGAATTCATCCAGATCACCCTTAGGATCATAGTCGACTTCGTCTACAGTGTCAGCCTGGATCGGGGCGTCGGGCCTGGGCAGCATCTCCTTGAGTTTCTCCAGGACCTCAGGGCTAGGTTTCCAGTTCTGGTCTGGGAACTTGATGTTGACGACCAGGTACAGATCGCCGCGTTCGTCGCCACGCTTCATGGGCATACCCTCTCCAGGAACCTTAAGGACCTGTCCTGGGGACAGAACATCGCCCGGCTTCTTGGGGTGTTGCAGTTCAATACCTCGGCCGTCGAGGTGCTTGACCACAACTCGAGAAAAGCCCGTCAAGGCTTCAGCCACTGTAACATCAATGGTAGCGGTCAAATCGGATCCAGCCCTTCTGAAAACAGGATGGTCTTCTTCCACGATATGGAACACGATATCACCGGGCTCTTGCCCTGGTACTTGATCGGCTTCACCCTCAAGAATGATTTTATCTCCCTCCCTGCATAATAGTTTAGCGCCTGACTTGGTTCTTTTAATGGTTTGCATAGTTCACCTTGCTCCCCGAGGAATGTAAATCTCCAGAATCTTCCTCTCCTCCGTCGTCTTCTTTCCTTTACACTTCTTACACTTGTCCTTGGGGCTAAAGAATTCACCCTCTCCGTTGCAGGTTGAGCACGGCACGGTGGACGTGGTAAGGAACTGTCCCATCTGGTTCAAGACCTGCTTGACACCTGTACACGTCATTTGTCAGCCATCCAATAATCGTCTGAGCTAAGCGTTTATTTTCCATACCTTGTCCGCCGCAAGTAGCACACTGTTTGGCCTGCGCCTTCTCCTTGCCTCCCTTGCCCTGACACAAGCTGCAAATCACATTCTTCGTACTCGCAAACTTGACAGTCTTGCCCTTGTACAGATCTTCCATCTTAACTTCATACTTCTGTTCCTCGTTCGGGCTTCTCCGTGGTTTATTCGCGCGCGGACCTCCCGGCATACCGCCCATTCCAGGCATACCGCCCATGCCACCCATACCACCGAACATCTGCGCCAGTATATCATCTAGGTCGGGGCCTGCGCCCATACCGGGCTCTCCAGATCCGTTGAAAGCGCCCATTCCATGTGTATCATATAGATGACGTTTGTCTTCATCGTAGAGGATATCGTAAGCTTCCTGGACGGCCTTGAATTTGATCTCGGCTTCTTCACGCTCTGCCTCGGGGACTTTGTCAGGGTGACTTGCGAGCGCAGCCTATCGTTGGTTTGATATATGAGTAGTTATCGAGGACGATCAGAATTAAGGTGCAGTACCTTGCGATAAGCCTTGCGGATCTCATCTTTGTTTGCGCTGTTGGCGATTCCGAGGACCTCTAATTAAAGGAATAGCGTTAGTCATTTTCCCGATAACTTCGCGTGACACAAGCATGTAGAATTAAGATATATACCATAGAGGTCAACTTCAGCTTGAGACACTGCGTTTGGAGTAAGTCAGCAAAGTCAGCAACAAAAGGCTTAGAGGGGAGCGATCACATACTTTTGAGCGGCTACGGAGAGGTCCCTGATTCTCGGATGAAAATGAGACTGAACCGAACACAAACAGAAGGTGAACGACAAAAGAATTATATCTCTGAGAAAACACTATCTCAAGAGACTCCTAAGGAAGGATAAAGGACGGCAAAGGTAAGCCCAGAAGCGTTTGTTGATTGTAAGCGGTAAATGGATTAAACTGATAAAATTAATAAAATTCAGTCCGCCTTTTCCAACTTTACTTTTTTTCTCCAGTCGGAGTCTCGCCGCAAACCTCCGATGGTTCAGAGGTACACCTCCCCATCCAACCATTCACCATCGCTCTTGCCCTGAATATCTCCGCATAATTGGGCCCTCTTTCGCGACCATGAGGCGTCCCCATCCCGGGCTTCTTGCCCGTCGTCCGTGGATCTGCACCCAGTGCAGTAGAGCCCGTTACTCGGTTGCGTCAAGCAAGACTATACGCGCCGGTAACAAAAAGACGAATTTGCCTGATTTCCCCGCGAGAACCCGATTCGCACCGTCGCCAACCGGATATCTTCATCTAGGGTCCCTGCGGACGGCATTGTTCAACTATCTTTTGGCTAAGCGGACAGGAGGACAGTTTCTGCTACGAATTGAGGATACCGATCAGGTGCGGCGTTAGAACACTTTATCGGTCGATCGCGAAGGCTGATGGGCGAATGGATATAGAAACGCACTATCCCCGATGCTGAACAGAGGCTTTATGAGGATCTCCAATGGGCTGGACTGCAATGGGATGAAGGTTGGCATTGATTAGGAAACACAAAGTTGCTCGGAGGTTGACGTGCAGTTTGTAGGTCCTAATGTTGGCGGTCCCTACGGTCCGTATAGACAGGTGAGGCTCTCCAATGCGCTTGTCGACCGATTCCCAAAGAATTCTACTAAGTTGTTTGTCTACAGTCCGAGAGAACAGCCATCTATCGTACCCATGCTCACGATCTGATAAAAAATGGACATGCATACCGATGCTTCTGCTCCGCACATCGACTCGATGCGTTCGCAAGACATCGCAGTCAAGCCGGATTACCCCCCGGTTACGATAGAAAATGTGCGGAGATATCGGCCGAAGAGTCCGAAGACAGAGCGGCGAAGGGAGAGACGCATGTGGTTCGGCTGAAGGTGGAGGGATATCCCATGTTCGAGGACATTGTCTATGGGAAGACCGGCCAGAATCGCTCGCCGAACAAGCTGGACTTGATTGATCGGGTGTACGACGACCCCATTTTGATCAAATCGGACGGGCACCCGACCTATCATCTCGCTAATGTCGTTGATGATCATCTCATGAAGATTACCCATGTCATTCGAGGCACTGTGAGTTTCTAAGAGATTATCTTGGAATTGACTTCTAACCTACTCGGATTACAGGAATGGATGCCCTCTACCCCTCTGCATGTCGCTCTATACAATGCTTTCAAGTGGACGCCGCCTCGCTTCGGCCATGTACCTCTGCTTGTGGACAAGTCTGGGCAGAAGCTTAGCAAGCGGAATGCCGACATAGATCTTACCTTCTTCAAGGATACGCAGGGAGTGTTCGCCGCTACGCTGGTAAACTTTGCTGCTTTGTTAGGCTGGTCTCACACTCAAAAGTCAGACATTTTCAGCCTTGAAGAGCTGGAGCAAATAGTATGTCCTGCACTTTCTTTAAGTCCTTAATGCGCTACACGACAGGCATTGACTCATTTTTAGTTTAACCTCAAAATCACAAAGGGTAACACTGTTGTTGCCTTTGAGAAGCTTTGGTTCCTGCAGAAGGCACACGCACAGCGCTTTGCCACGAACGGTGGTAACGAGTTTGAAGAGATGGTTTCCAGAGTCTCTAAGGTTGTGGAGGAGACATGCCCTTCGCAACAACTGTACGACCCCTTCCCATTCAACTTTATTATGCCCGAGTCTGACCCGTAAACTATAGCGCACCGATCCTTCAATCTCGCTCGCTAGCGGAGTATCTCCCTACTCTCCTCCGCGCAGACGCCAAATCCTATACGAATGCATCGGAATTTGTCCAGCGCAATTCCACCTTCTTCACCACTTCTCTTAATAGACCCCCATATACCCCAGCTGCCTCCACCAGCAAGTCACCACCCCAAGCCATTCCCATGACAACCCTCCACACAGCAGCTGCAGCCTTCAGCCTTGTCCCAGAAGCCCACTGGACCATCGAAACCCACAAATTCAATATCACCTCTTATGATGGGGCCTCCGCCATCCTCCCAGAAGAATCAGATGCAGGCGCTTACGGATCAACCGAGGAAGCGGAAAAGGCCCGAGTCGCTGCCGACAAGACCTTCAAGAAGGAGCTCTACCACTATCTACGATGGGCATTATCTGCCTCCGCACCGGGACCGGGTATCCCTGAAACTATGGTGATTCTTGGTCGTGCCGAGTCTCTGCGACGACTTCAAGAGGCACGGCAGATGACTATGGGCTTGGTGAATGAGTCCACTGGTCCAACTAGGGTGGTGAAGGGTGCCCAGTCTAGTGAAAATCAGGACACCACCTGGATGGGTTCACTTGCTCCTAAGTCATAATTCCCGTCTTTGAATGATTCGTCCGATTTGGTGTATACTATATGTACAATTCCTCACTGACGTGAATTACTGTAAATTAACTCAACTCAATGAAGGGCGTACTTCAATTCCATGTCGATAACCATTCTATATCCTCGCAAGATTTAATCCACGCTTTCTCTTCCCAACTCCCCCAACCTTCGTACATTGATCCTGTTATCTTGCCCTCCAAATCATACGTTCAATACAGATCAAACCTACAGAACATCAGAATCTCAAGTTATCCAGATGGTTCATATATTTGGATACTGCATCCTTGATGGCCCTATAACAGAGAGACTATCTCTAGAGGTCAACCCTACCCTGGGAACCAACCAACGTGACAGACTTCACCGGAGAACTTGCACATATATTTCCACATCCCCTTCTGGAAAGCAATATCTTTATTGCCATGTCGAACAGAACTCTAAACAAGGCCCCTGTCCTAGACGGAATCCTTCAAGCACCAAAAACAGGGTGGTAAGCTTGGGGCATGTGCTGAAACATACCCTCTTAGCCCATCTAGAGTATTCATTCCCCTTCTGGTGCATCTGGTCAGCAAATGATACAACTAACACTATCTAGAAACCATCAAGAGCACAGAAGAAGTATACATAGTAGCCTTGCATTAGTCTACCAATATTTGTACTTATTGCTGGGGAAGTCACTCGGTGGCTTTTTGCCCCGTTTCCCACCATAATCAACGGATTTCTAGCCGGTGTAAGTTTTCCGGTTCTCGTGTATCATTTATCATTTATCTAATACTCTGGAAGTTTGCATACGCACGGGAGCAGCAGCAACAGCTAGCCAGTCCCAAGGGGCAAAAAAAAAAAAAAAAAAAAGGAAGAAACTAAGTAAATATCTTATGGCAAGACTATCTTCCTGCAAAACCCATTGTCAGGGAGTAGCAATTCCTCCTCCCAGGGGCTTTGTTTACCTCTGTGGCAGTTTCACAATATCAAAGATCTTAAGAAAAAAAACATACCACTCCAACACCGAGATGTCGTTACAGGTCGCGTACAAGCCCGTTTATGCTCGGGTGGAGACAACAACCCCAGGCTACGACTTCGTAGCACATACTGGAGCAAAGCTCACGGCAACAAAAGACTTCAAGTTCGAGGACAAGCATCAAGACGCGTTAGTGCTGGAGACTGCACTTTTAGAAAGCATCGTGAGTGCTAAAGACAACGTGGAATCACGTAAACACTCATAATTCGAGGAGATTTTTCAATACAGAATGACACTACGGGTGGCTACACACCTCGCTTACAGTCTCATCAGACAACGGGGAATGAAATACGAATAGTGCAGGAAAGCAAGCTGGCGAGAACCGCGAAGTCTCCCGTACACAGTCGGGCTCCAAAGCTGCATAATGGATATTCCACTTGAAGAAGGCCAAATTTATCAAGCAAGAGCCTGTCGAGTTTGCAGACAACAATGTTCCTGAAAGACCAACGAAGAGCCTGGATATGTCCTCGCACGATATCCCCGAAAACAAGGTCCCCTTTAAACCCGGAAGCCTAGGCCGACGCTTTTCTTAGGAGCAAGTTGGTGGAACATTAATCAAATACAACTGAATGGAAATGTAAGAAGAGGTTCGGTCTGACTTTTCCAATACAAAGCAATGGGAGAATAAAGACCAGATCTCGGCCGATTTCACTGCCCTGCAGGCCGAGTTTTGGAGCGACACCAGGATGATCCGGCAGGATGCGAAGAGGTATTTGACGCAGTCGATAGGGCCTTTAGTAACATCACACGCCTCTAGCGTTAACGGTGAGGACATCGACAAATGGGACGCGCAATTTGCAGCAGGCAGGAGCATGGATAGCTAGGTATTTTTATTGCATCAGAGATAATATGCATGCGTCCAAAGGTGGATGGATTCTGACTGAACCAGCGGATACTGTGGTAGATATGGAACCGATAAAGAAGTACAACGATTTCAAAAGGTATCTAACTGCCTTGGCGGAGACCATATATCTACAAAACGAAAGGACGCAAATGAGGTGGAAAGGGGGTGACCGTCCATAACCAGGGTTTTCTCACGAGTGTAAGTTTTCCAGTTCTCATGCGGTATATATCTTGTACCTATTGCTCTGGGAGTTCGCGTATGCACGCAAGCAGCAGCAGCTAGCCCCAAGGGGCAAAAAACGAAGGAGGGTAAGTTAGCTTATACCGGAGAGGGCTCTCTTCTTGCCAGCATTATTTACTATAGACTGCTGCTGCTGCCGTCAGTACTGCTGCTCATGCCAGTCACCTATCAATGATATTCGAATTTAAAGTATATAATCAAGATTGAATCTATAAGGCGCGGGACCACCGGGCGAAGAGTGATGAAGCAAAAGCGAAGCAGGTATGAATGTACATGTGACCCGAAGAAAGTTATCAAGCTAATATAATGTATGGAAGGAGGAGGGAAGGAGAAGGAAAATGAGGGAGGGGGAAATGGGAATCAATTGGGAGGATGCCGGCGAAGCACCGGTTGAAGGATGACCGTGTTTATCGAGGCAGAACTGATTGCCTCAAACTCAGGAGCCCGTTCGGAACCAGGATGAGTGAGAAGGCATGGAAGACACGGGTGAGGAGGTTATACAGATCGGCGGAAGAAAGACGGAGAATGAGAGATGCGGTGGGTTTGACATTCAATTTCTTTCATTTGAATGGGTTTAGACGGCGTTCGGGACAATATTCCGTCTTGGAAGTATTTGAATAGCTAGACGTTCTATGACCAGGCTCTAACAGGAGACAGAGTCTTGATTAATTGAGTGATTGATCCCCGTATTTACGCTGTATCGATAATGAGCTTGCTTAGCGCCACTCCAACGGATTCTCCAGTAAGTATATATTTAGAACGGAGACTCAAGTGCATTATATTGGGCCAAGTTGCGAATAAGTCGACCGTTGTTCAGGTTCTATTCTGCGGCCCCGTTTCCATTATCATCCGGGTGGAATCACCTTCGGTAAGTCTGCGTGGGACGCTTACAAGGATGCGAATCGGGTGTTTGCGCAGACCGTTGCAAAAGAAGCCGAGGAGGTAGTTGATAGTTGAGATATATTCCTAGGGACCAAAGTCTGCCAAACGTCTTCGTTGTTAAAGAGCCTCTCAAGGGTAGAGGTCATCCATGCATTATATAGCAGAGGAGTTACCTGTAATCGCAGGTAGAAGATTACTTCTAGGGCTACATGTACAAGACGGACAAGATCATTTCGAAAAATAGATTGTATTGTTAATTAACATAAGAGATCCAACAAACCATTGCGCTGCGCTGATATCAAAACAAACGGAAAACAAAATGTATGACTCGTATAACAAAAGAACTATGAAAAAAGTAAAAAAAAGCAGATAGCCTCACCAAACAAGATAGAAGAACAAGAAGAGTACAATAGCAGAATCAAACGTAATCGCGAATTAAACATAAGTAGTAAAGGGACTTGTCCAGTCAATGGCTATCCACATCTACTTTTTTCGGTAGAGAATGAGTTAATTATCAAACGTACAAACCAAGCATAATACAAGAAGGTAGCCCGTCTCCTTGAACAGTTAGATGGCAATAGAAAAAGCATCGGCTCATTTCGTTCGTTGTCATCCCCATCGTTGCTGTAGTTGCCAACAGGCGTCGCGGGCTTAAGAGCAAAGATCACCATAAGAGAAAAAGCGAAAACATAACCAGGGTATAATCCCAAAAATTTTAACACAGAAATTAATGTCGGCGACAGCAACATCACTCAGATCGCCCAGCCTGTCCAATCACCAGAGAGCTCAACCATTACACAGCGTCCCCAGTCTGGTTAAGATAAAATTAAACATTGCAAGAGCAATCATAGAATCGTCAACATCGAGTGGTCTCGTAAGTCCGTCTTTCCGGAAGTGCCTGAGGTTTGAAGAAAGCAAGAAAAGCCAAAACGATTTAGTTGAGCAATGGACCCCTACTTTGCTTCTTTTCTAGTAAGGCTCCAGGTCGTCTGCCCATCCAGCATCACTCCCCGCTACGCGGACAACATTCGGGTTTACCGCTGGCTCGTCTGGGCTAACGCTTCGGATCCCTTTTGGCTTCTTTCCTGCCAAGTCATCAAGGGCCATTCGCTTGCCATGGGCAGCACGAAGCTTAGCATAGTAGACGTCACTAGCGTCAACTTCGGACTCAGACCCACTGTCGAATGTCTCCCAGTTCTCTGACCCAGAGTTGCCTGTGTTGATGGTTGACGCATTTGACACTTGTCTCGGGGCTGGTGGGGGAGCACGTTGCAGATAAGGATTCGGTCGTGGGTATCCCATGGAATTTACGGACAAGGATGAGGCTGAGGATTGTGTTGATTGAGAGAATCCGGTAGATCGCTGTGAGAAAGCCGAAGAGCTTATAAATGAGCGTTGGTTACGATCATCATAGACATCTTCCGGGCTGACCGGCCGGACAAAGGCATTAGACAGTGCACTAGCACTTCGTGGAGGCTCGAACAAGTAGCTGCTTCGCTCATCTCGTGATTCTCCACCAGTCAATGCGCGCATCCTTGGTGGCGGAGCACGGGTTGGAATTTTGCCGTTCATTGTGTTAGAGGAATAGAGGCTTGGAGTACCACTGCGCGCGGGGGAGTTGCTCCCATGAGGCATGTTGCTCAAGGGAACGCGAGCGGGGATCTTCGAAGGAGACTTAGCTCCAGCTCTAGAAGGGGCTCGGGATGGTCCGATAGTGTTGTATTTCATTGAACCACCTCCAGTAGGAGTTTTTGTAGCAGACCGGGGGGGAGGAGGTCCTCTCATCACGCTGGCAGGGCGAGAAGGGGGCAGTTGCCTCATAGATCCTCCCCTCACGCTTCCTGGTCCGGCAGATGGCGTCTTAGAGCGAGGCGGCGGTTTGGCGACGACTGGAGTGAGCTCATCGAGATATCTTTCTCCATGAACGAGGAACGACCGGCCATACTCGTCCTCGAAGTTCTCTAATTCTTTCCGCAGATCCGCTTCCACCTTAGGTAGCTCCTTAGCAATCCTCTTTCTCATTTTCTCCTCTCTCAGAAGCTTTCCTGGATCACGTCTTTGTCCACTGGCTCCACGCGCCATGAGACGAGATGCATCTTGACTTGACACAGCCAGAGCCTCTTTGTCTGCCAGGAGGCTACGATGCCTCTCTACGAGTTGCAAGACCGAAGCACGCTGTTCCTTCAATGCCTCCAGCCGGGTAATTTCAGCCTCATGCGCTTCTAACAAAGCGTCGCTGTAAACATCAGAAAAGGCAGGGGTGAAATCAAGCATTTCTTCCTCTGAGTAGTAGAGACTATCCCAGAGCTCTTGGAGTCGGCATCGCGCATCTTCGACAAATAGATGTAGGTTCTGTTTTTTGAGTTCGTTGAGGCGTTCCAATTCTTCTTCAAATTCGTTGATTGTACGGAGACCACAGCCGCGGTTCGCCGAGAGGAACGCTTTTCTGTCACACTCCTCAACTCCAAAGCGCTCCCAAAGTGCTTCCACGGCATTTCTGAGTTCTGCGATCTTGCGCTCCCGACTTCTCTTCTCCTCCAACAGCTTTTCTCGCTTTGCCTTCAAATGGGCCAGGTCGGATTGGTGAAGTCCCAACTGTTCGGGGGATTCTTTATAGTGCTTAACAATGTTGGAATCGGTTTGGGCCTGAGGGGTTCCGAGCTCAGCCCAGAGCTTGATGATCTCTTCGCAAATGGTCTTGACAAACTCGAAACGTCGCTCATATTCTTCGTAAACTCTTGAAAACTCGTCGTTCAAATCATCCACGTATTGACGAGACAAATTAAAACTGGGCGATATCGAAGATCCCGGTGCTGTAGGTGGGAGAGCAATGGTAACAAAAGACGCTTCGAGGTGGGATGAGTATGACTCGAGAGCCACAACGAGTTCTGCATGTCGTTAGCAAGCCATTCGATCGTCGGCGGCAGCATAACATACTCTTGACCTGTTCGAAGCGCTCGTGATGTAATTTGCTGAGCGCATTATGCTTTTCGCGGAGGAAAGCAAGGCAGCGTTTGAGGGGATAAGTTATGCGCAAGTCATCGCGATTCAGCTGATACTCGCCATTGGCTTTCTCGTCTTGTAGAGACTCCTCCATTTGCTCGATTGCAAGTATAAGCTGTCGCGCTTCCTCTGTCATCTCATTTTTCTCACTATTATTTCCATTAACATCCGAGAGGCCCCTCCGTCAGGCTGAAAAGCCAGTAAAACTCACTTGTCAACAAGCTTGAGATGATTGTTTAGAGTATCGGATAGCGCACTGAAAAGCTATAGTTGTTTGTTAATATCAATTGAAAAACAAGGAAGAGTCAAGCAAGCTAACCTCTGCCTCTCGAGAGTCGCGCTCATGGCTTGGAACACCGATCTCATCATAGATTCCATGCAGTTGAGCGACAATGTTGTTGACCTGGGTGGTCAAGTAGCTGGTGTCCACGGCCATCGCGTATGCCGGCGCTTTAAGTTAACAAAAGAAATATAACGAGAGTATGTTCACGTCTTTAAGGTTTCGTGATCATGTAGTCTCTGGCGGCGATGCGCCTTCAGCACTGCAGCTGTGAGACACCAAAATCCACCAGCGTGAATCTGCAACAACAGCAAACGATTGACTCAGAGGTCGGATGTCATCTGCGAGAACAAGGGGCTACCCGCAGGCTTTATGTATAGCTGAGCACTTGCAGACGTATGCAAGGGTGGAGAGGGGAAGGGAGGGGGGGCAATCAATCGAGGCAGTGATGCGATGAGATAGAACAATAATAATAGTGCCGCTACCTCGAGATGCAGCCGCGATCGAGATTCCATCCCGGCCCCTGTTGATGGCGTTCCGTTACTCCAGCAACAGTCTACTCAGCTCCTCACCGCCCCGTTCTGCCATGGGTTAGCTCACCGCCCGCTCCACGTCTGGACTCCAACTGCTTGCTTAACGTAGATCAGATCTGATAGATCAGACGTCACCAAAAGTCAGCCAGTTGTTTTTAACTCCTCTTGTCCACAAATCTTTCTATAAACTACTATTCCTCCACCATTTTACCCCACAGCTCCATCATCCTTTGCTGTCAAAACTACCACCACCCATTCATCAGCATGCAGAAGGCTGCACAGCAGTCTTGGGGTTCGTACTATGCATTACCCCGATATTATCATGGACAATACACATTACTAACAACAACCTTCCTCCCACTCCAGAGCTCGAAAATGCCATCAGTCTCATAGATCCCCAAAGAGACGCCCTTTACCAGTACGATGAAGAAACACACAAAGCCCTTAGCGCGCAGCGCCCATGGGCCAAAGACCCCCACTATTTCAAATCGATACGGATCTCAGCCGTCGCGCTACTGAAGATGGTAATGCATGCACGCTCAGGTGGATCCCTCGAAGTCATGGGCTTAATGCAAGGCTACATCCTGCCAGAAACCTTTGTCGTAACCGATGCATTTCGCCTCCCTGTCGAAGGGACAGAGACTCGAGTGAACGCCCAAGACGAAGCAAACGAATACATGGTGTCTTATCTCCAGGCATGTCGGGATGCGGGACGGATGGAAAATGCAGTCGGCTGGTATCACAGTCACCCCGGGTATGGTTGCTGGTTATCAGGGATCGATGTCACCACGCAGGATATGCAGCAGCTCGGCGGGCCGTTTGTTGCCGTGGTCATTGATCCAGAGCGTACCATTTCCGCGGGGAAGGTAGATATCGGAGCGTTTAGAACGTTCCCTAAGGATTACACGCCACCCAAAGAAGAGCAAGAGGATGATGAGTACCAGACGGTACCGCTTAACAAAGCGGAGGACTTTGGAGCACATGCATCCCATTACTATTCACTTGAGGTATCACATTTTAAGAGCGTTCTTGATACCGAGATTCTGTCACTTCTGTGGAACAAATACTGGGTCGCTACCCTCAGTCAGAGCCCTCTGTTTACCACCCGTGATTATGGTAGCAAACAGATGATGGATCTTAGCCAGAAAGTTAGACGGGCCGCTCGCGGCATTGAAAGCAATCCCTCACGGAGCGGACCCACTACTGTCAAAGATCAACAATTGGAAAAGGTTGTGCGAGATGGGCAGCGAATTGTATCGGAGGAAGTCAAGGGTCTCTTGGCAGCTGAAGTTAAAATGAAGCTCTTCCAAGGCATCGGAGAGAACAGCAAGGCAGAAACATAAGCAGCCATAGCCTCAACTGAAACAGATATTATGAACTGGTGATACGACTCTACGTTGGGTTTTCAGCTTCTACCGAGCGTTTATTTCGGTGTCAACGACACTTCTGGGCCCATAAGTGTTAGATGCTCCTGGACAACACGACGATTTATGACTACGCATCTGCAGTTTTCTTGTACAATTACTCTCCATGGATGTAACACATAAGACTAAACATATATACCTTCGTAGTTAAACAGGTAGGTACAAGAACAGAAAGATTCACACTTGGAGTGTACAAAGCTGGGACAACATACAATGTTATCCTATGTCATGACGTATCATTATCAATCGTGAACGAGACCACAGTCCCGTGGAAACCCTTATCATGAGGCTGGGGAACCAAGACACGGACGACAATCTTATACAAAAAAAGGAAAACGGGCCAAGCCACTGTACAAAACGATCGAGACGGTCAAGAATATATGCAGGTAAATGGTGAGATAAAGAAAAAAAATCAAGGGACTGTAAGACCGCGGAGATGAAGGCGGAAAAGAACAAAAGAGATGGCAGAGCTGTGCCGGGGTTGAGTTGGTAGCGTCTGAAGGTAAAGAGTGGTCTCGTCCGCAGGATTGAAGATAAAAGGCATAAACAACAGGTCAAGGGTATCACAAGCTTCCACTGCAATCGTTCTATCACATGCGATTCAAGTAGCTGTGGGGCGCTAAAGTCGGGGAGTTCGTATAATGTTCGAAGCCCCCTCAACTTGTCCGTTTTATTCTTTTTATTTCTTTTTTTTTTCCTTTTAAAATATTTTGTTTCTCAGGCTGTTCGATAGACCAACTCAGGACAATATGCTCAGGATGATCGAATGATCATATAGCGCCCGAGCCATAACCTTTCGGTTTAGATAATGACATGGACATGAACGTCGCGTCATATGAAATCAAAGCAGCTTGAAGGAGATGTCAAGGAATCCTGGTGAGCGGTTGGAGCAAGGGTGCACTGGCACTTTCGAGCAGCGCAAGTATGCCTTGAAGGTTGATCCCAGGTTCCAATATGCCGCGTCATGTAATTTGATAAGGCCATGTCGACTGATCCTTCTTTCGCACGGTCGCATTGATGGTAGACGGCGTCGTTCTAGTGAGTCGTTGTAAACGCCAGGGATTTTATCGCCGCCAATCACCTCGCATAGAAGCCATTGGCGTGGGTGATCGCTCCTGATAAACTTTGTCGGGTTGCCGGTGGAACAGCTCGGCACGTGCGTAGTGGATGCAGCGACAGGGGTCTCCACGTATCGCAATCTATGCCCCGACGGAGAAACGGAGTTCGCCGACTTACAGGAAGCCCGATTCAGACAGCAGTCTACGCGTTAGGAAAAACACAGTCAGTCATCATGTAATCAATCGATCAATCAAGACGTCCTTCAAAGAGAAATAGTATCTGAAAAAGATATGGGTATCGCCACACCAGGCCTAAACACCGAAGCAAACACCCAAGGTCATGAAAAGGGGCATCAAGTGGGAAGGTGAACTTGGAAAAAAAAAGAAGAAGAAGGAAAAGCATTATCGCATCGACATGGCCAAGGTCGCAATAGCCAATGTGCTCATGTCTATACCTGCTGTAGTAGCATACCTCGCAATCTTTTCGTCCTCCCGTTCTCTGGGCTCCACTTCCAAACTCCGGTCGTACATGTCATGCACGTCGCCCGCCGCTTGTAAATTACTGAGAATGTAATCCTGCAATTCAGGGACGGGCTGCAGGAGATAGGGGACGTTTTGATACTGCTGAATGTCTCGGATTACTTCCGCGGTTTTGGCGCGTTTGTTGAAGTTGATCAGCTCCGATGGCGTAAGAGATGGAATACCGTCTTCAATAAAGGTCAAATCGGTCAAATAAACACCTAGGTAGATTGAAGTTAGTCTCCACATCTAAGAAATGGAGGGCAGAGGTGGGGTTAGGTCGATCAATCCTAATCTCGTACCAAAAAATGGAATGCATGGCGGGTTTGCTAGGTGTAGGGTTTCACGGTATTCGCCGAAGTTTTTCGTACTAGCCATGAGTTTACGCATTTGTTCTAAGATTGTGGACGTGCGGCCACTAACTTGACCCCATGTCCGACCAAGTCGATGGATCGGCGCCGTTCCGAGGGCAGAAATGATAGATGTCAGGGTAGAGTAGTTGTTCAGGGCACGACATTTCTGATAATTTTGTCAGCAATAGCCATCAAAATGGTGGGAAATACCCATACATCTGCTACGTTAACGAAGTGCTTGATAACAACCACACGCTTTTTGACATCAGACTGACTGAGAATCATCTCCGCAACCCAGTTTGTCAGCTGGTTCGAATGAAGGATGAGAGCTTTCACGTTAGTCGCAGGCTCTGGTTCGTCAGGCCCAACTTTCTTTTGCCACGTTTTATTCAAACATTCTATAGGTCGAATCTTGGAGTAAAGACGCGATTCGATGATTGTAAGCTGGCGAGCGAACTCTGTTGGATCAATGTCCAAAAATTTAAGCTTCTTCATGTTCTTCGGGATAATAGGAGACGGGGCGGGAACCGCTTGTGTAGGAACAAGTCGTTTGACAGTCGTGTCCTGGCCACGAAGACGTTGCTCGATAACCGTCAACAATGGAGGCGAACCGGGTGTTTTCGTAGTAGCGATAGAATCCTTGGTGAAAGCATGAACACGTTCCAGAAGCTTCATATGCGCTTCATCATTCGGTTCCATCCAAAAGTTTTCAAACCAGCTCTTGAGGATGTTGACTATACGGAATCGAATAGGCTTTTGCTTCCTGTCAATCCACATCTGCATCTCTTCTTGGTTTAGGCCGAACGGAGGCTGGATATTGAATCGCTGAGTTAGCAACTCGAAGAGCTCGGCGGCAGTAGTAAAAGAACGGTAAGTAAGGAGGAAAGTATTGTTGAAAGAAGCATCAAGTTTGTCATGTCGAGTCAGGTGCTCCACTAGTCCTGCTAGCGTGCCACATTTCAAGGTAGGCACATCGTTTTTGGTATCGTAAAATACTTCGCCTTCATGATCCATCTTCAAGAACCAAGGCGTTTCTTCCGGCTCTCGGACAGGCTCTCGGATTGGTTCTCGAGGAATTGCAGTCGGTGGGGCTTGTCCAAAGAATCTCTGTGCCTTATCCATATTGCGCCGCACTTTGTCATGTGGGGGATTGACGGAGTATGAAGATGGAATTCCAATAGACTCGTCCGCAATTTTAGCCTGGGATTCCGCACGGCTATGCAGAGCCTTCAAACCGTCGTTATCTTGACTCAGACGACTCTCGCTACGGAAAGCTGTAGCAGACTCGGGGATCTGCTCAAGCAGGAGAGACAGGGAGAATCCGATTTGAGAAACGTAGTTCTCGAGTTGCCTAGCAACACCTCGCACGGCGTTCAAACGATCTTCGAGAGAGTCTCCGCGCAATTCAGCCCATTCGTCACCTAGGGGGCTCGTGACAGCCTGACAGCCAAGAACAAAATCGGCAATTGCATCGTACACTCGTTGTTTCTGTAAACTGAAATCGACCAATTGGGGATTTTGAAAACTGGTTCCCAGAGGCGCCAGATTGATCGACTCGACAGAAGAGACCCAAGGACGAAACTGCTCGATGACCTTGATAGCGGCGGCCGAGACAGAATCGCCGATTTCGTGATGCTCAGCAATCGTGACGATCTTCTTCTGGTTAAGTGACAACCGTTCCTCTAGTCGGCGAATACTCCCCACAAATGACCTCCGCAAAATATCAATATGATCCAAAAGCGCCGCATCAAGTGGCACCGCTGGTTCAGCTCGAGTGTCCCCTCCATCCTGGTCTAAGAACGACGTCGGGCCTGAATCATTGAGAGTGACACCGTTATTCTGCCAGCCACCGCCTGAACAGCTACCTACCACAAAGCCCGGAACGATCCGTCGGATAAAGTCACCACGTTGCTGTCTTGCAATATCGACATAACCATACACTCCTTGCATAACCCCATCTGCCTCTTGCAGACACTTATTGACGGAATCCGGGCTTGGCCAGTCGGCTGCAGCAATGTGCGATGAGAGCACTAATTTGGAGAATTTCGACATCATATCCCTAAAGTGAGGGTACAGAGCTTTATTTGTAGAGATAATCGACGGGTTTCCGGAGTGATTGTCCGTGGTGTCGGAACCGGCAGCCAGAAGCATACGCAGATGGTCAGATATATCTTCGGCCTTTCTCACGTATTCCGAACGATCCCCGTTCAACAAAGTCTGGCGATAGGCCTCGACAGCGGTGCGCATGTTATCAACGAGCAATGGCCATGTCAGGGGAGCCGATGCACCATCGTCGACAAAATGCGAGGGCGCTTCCGAAGAGATAGAAGGTCGGTGGAAATTGTCGGAAAGCGATGTAGTACTGCTAGTGGCGGTGCCAAAGCTGTACGCCTTAGACAGGCTTCGAAACGAGCTCTTCCCTTCATTAATCGATTTGGTGGCAGACGGTGGATGTAAAGAATCCATGGAAGTTGCGGGGGATACGCCGTCGATATAGGACTGCCGTCTCCGGGACATAGAATCGTGAGAAGCAAGCATCAATGATTCACCTTCCGCTTCGGACGCGGAGCCATCATATTCATCCTCGTCTCGTTCGAAACCACGGGCCATCAGTTCTGGGGGGGGTCTAGTCTGGTTGGGCACACAGAAGGTATTGCGGTCGTAAGGGCCTGTTTCGTTCGTAGACGGGTTTTCGAACGGCAACTCCATGGTGCTGTAGCCGGTGAGAGTGTTGAAGTAGAATAAACGGCCATCGGGGGTCGCTTGTGGAATCCAAAAGGCGGCCTCTTCCTGCTCGTTTGGAGGTCCCGTGCCTTCAATAGGCAGGATCGGTTGTGAGTCGCGCGGGTTTCCTGCAGAGTCAACCTCGTCTTCCTCGCGGTCCTCCTCATACTCCTCTCCCAGGCCAGACTCCGCACTGATGTCTCCATCCTCATGCCCGTTCGATACATGCTCCTCGAGCTCGCTGAGGTCTGTAATGATGGTGCAG